GCTCTTTCCTAATACTGTCAGGTCTGAGCAATCGTATATCCTACGTGTTAAGGATTTTTGTTGTTGCATGTCAGGTATTGCTAGAAGAATAATTGCTCAGTGGTGTGTAGTGGACTATTTCTGTGTTTGAAATTTGCAACTACTGTCTAAGTATCTCGTTGAATTGATGCTTCAAACAGTGCCAGTGCGTGAGAAGTAGCAAAAGAACTTCCTGTAGACTAGGAGAAACATCCTCCTGTGTTTTTTAATAAGCTGAGCAGATCTGGAGGAGGATGTCCTCCAGAGCTGAATGCACCTTGCATTTGCTATACAAACAGTGGGGAACCATGTTTTCAAGTTGTGTAGCATGGCAATCAGTTATATAGGTTTCAGTAATGCAATCAAGTTTTACCCTTTCCAAAGTATTTCAGGCAGGTCCCAGGACTGCCCTGTGTTCTCCTTTTCCTGAAATGTGTGCTGAAGAGATTTAATTTAGTGAGCGTATTGAACTTTTCTGAAAGGAAGAGAGAGAGCCTCTTCCATAATTGTCAGCTCTGAACATGATATCAGTTTCCCTGCCGTTCTGCAAGTGTGTGCAGGACAATAAACCATGAGAATAAAAGCATAACAGACCCACTCTTTGCTGTAATGAGCATTTAAATACAAGTTTTCATCTCTTATGTGAGTTGAAATAGCTTGCATAGATATGTCCACCCACACAAATATCCAATATATACTATACACTCATCAGCTTCTACTTTCCAAAATACTAATACTCCACAAGAAACATTTATAACCTGTAAACACACTATTCATGCACAAATACCATTCACATTTATATAATGGACCCAGTAAACAAGCTAAAAATACATATTCAAAACATTGAATAATTACATCTGCTTTATAAATGTATCACTGATAAGCAAAATTCCCAACAGGATCCATCCCCAGTAGCCTACCCTTGGGTAAGTGTGTGTGTACATGAAATAACTGCCCTCCTGCCACACACTTGGCAGTGGCTCTCAGAGCTGTTTGGGTGTGTACGCCACAAAGACACCCCCACACAAACTTGCACACCTGAACCCTGCATTTTAAAACACCTGAGGACTGTAGCGTTCATTCTGAGTCCAGGTGCCTTCATACAGATACTCCTACACGTTGTCTTTCCGGCAGGCAAACCTACATCTTGATCTGCCCACACCATTGAGCTGAACCCTGCGTTGCACGACTCAAACACATCAGGTAACCCTCAGCAGTGCAGAGTCCTGAAGTCATTTAACTTCAGGCGTGTGCTTCTGTCCTGAAATCATTCATGAGACTTTCCGAGCAAACAAATCTACGTTTCTTGTTCTTTATTTTTCTCCTTGTGACAGGATAGTTGGGAAACACCTTTCTAATGCAGGATTGCTAATGAATGAGCTGTGAAGGGAGGCAGGGAAGGAGAAGTGCTTACAGCAAAGGCTTTGTCATCCTGCTGGGTTTTGTTTGGGGATTGGAGTGGGAGGGAGCCCTGCAAGCCAAGCCATTTTATGGGGTCAGTTGCTTTCCTAGGCCTGGCTTTTGAACTGTTCTGTTCTTGTGCCGTGGCACTAGCACCCACGTATGGCCAAGCTGACCTGTATCCTCTTTTCTCTTGTATGAGCTTCCATACTTATGCTTATTAAGACTATTCGTTTTGACTAAAGTAGGTTTCTTAGACGGATCTGAGGATATCTAGAGATGGACAAACCAGCTCTTCCCTTAGTAGTTGGCTCCAGGGGTTAATCAACATTACTGTTAAGAATGTACCTTTACTTTTCATTTTAATTTGCCTGGCTTTAACTTCCACTCATTTCAAGACCGGTCACTCATTTCTTAGGCTTGAGTTTACCCCCTCATTGTTTTCTCTCACTTGTTATTATGAATATATTTCCATCAGAAATAGTGGGTCATGAAGCTGAGATAAGAGAGAATGTTATTTATGTTCAAGTAATTAATACCCCCTGATAAGCTCCGCGCATTGCCAGCCATATCTGCTGCAATATATGAGAGGCATGTTGCCAGAATGTGTTAAGCAGCAGTTTGGTGGATGATGGAGAGGATACTTAATTAATTTACAGGGAAACTACGCAAGCTTTCAGTCCATGCACATAAGTGGCAGCAGTTTGCATTTCAAGGCTAGTGAAACCGTGATAACTACTGCAAGTCTGATTCTGATATTTTAACTGACACTGATCAGGACTTCATTTCCAGCAGTGCAGGGTCATTTAGACTGGTGCAAGAAACTGAAGAGTAAAACCTAATTCTGCAGTTTTACTGGAGGAAGTTTGTTCTTTGCCTCGCAGGACTTTGCCAAAGAGCGGGGAGAGAGCTCAGTGCCTCCCGAGTGAAGCCGTGGTGGGTCTGTTCAGAGCAGTAGCAGGAGGGATGCTGAGGTGGTTCTAGCTCAGGAGGTCCCATCGTTACCCAGTGCGTGTGGAGTGGCTGTTGGATTTAACTGAGTCTAATTTAATACCAAATAGGGCAAGTTATTTAAGGAAGGGTGATTCAAAATTGAAATGGCTCTATTCTTTCAAGCCTCATCTTGTAATTGAAATATTCATAAAGCTCCTCATTCAGCATTAGGCCATTGCAGGAATATTTTAGGGATTTTGTGCTTTTTTGCAGTTACAATGTGCAAATTCAGCAACACCAGCCTGCATTTTCTGAGTGCAAATGCAGAATTTTGACCTGTCACTCTTTCAATATCTTTTCCTTTAAGGGACTTTTCATCAGATTGAAAGAAGCTGTGTTTTTACAGTACACACAAACAGCAGCTATGGGCTAGGCTGAGAAACCACTGGACTCGCTCTCCTGGTCCATGAAGGTTTTTTGGAGTTATGTCAAAAAATCCTATTCTTGAAATAGGTTCTTTTTTAATTTTACCATGATCCTCAAATCCTGCATGGATTTAGACCTCACGAACTAAATGCAAAGGTTCAGAAAAAATTCTGTGAGTCTGTGTTTCTATCCCATAGAGGAAGCAAATGCTTCCCCCTTTCTTAC